TTTAAAAACTGAACCTTTAAGTTTGTTGTGTTTCTCCACACAGCGCAGTGCCTTGGAGTCTTGTTTGCCAGCTTGGGGTGTCTGTGTGATCGTTGGCTGGACGCAGGTGTCTGAAGTCGCCATCCAACCAACTGACCTCATCGCTGGACGCACTTTGAAGGGCTCCTTGTTTGGAGGTGAGACAAACACAGTAATCAACAGTTTTGTCTTTTTGTTTTTACTCTTTTATTCATAGTTTGTCTCTCAGGGTTTAAGAGCAAAGACGGTGTTCCTCAGATGGTTAAAGCCTACATGGACAAGAAGCTGCAGGTGGACGAGTTCATCACTCACAACATGACTTTGGATCAAATCAATGATGCGATTGAGCTGATGAAACTTGGAAAATGGTAGTTTTTTTTCTTATTTTGTTCATAAATCAGTTGGTCCATTTAAAATAAGTGGGACTCTACTAATGGTCTGTTTTTCTTGTTCCGCAGCATTCGGACGGTCATGAATGTCTCACCACAATAAGACCAAAAGATACAGCAGTTGTTCTAAGATTTCCCACCATGCATTGAATTATGTGGAGTGTTTTCTCAGTTGATTATGTGCAGATGGAGTTTACAAGAATCTGAGCCAAAGCTGATATGTTTATGGAATAAAAATAATCATCCAAGCAGATGGTTTCATGGCAACTTTGTTTGTTTTCTGTTTTTATTGGGTTTTATGTTCACAACTCTGTCTGCAGTGACACTTAATGCAATATTAAACGACGTCTAACGTGTCCGTCCGTTTCATTTACACAGACCAGACTAATTATATGTGTTTGTTTAAGGTTGGGAACTTTCAGTTTCTCTGCTTGGATGGATTTCAGTTCTTCATTCCCARCAGACCTTCTGTCTGTTTCTTATTAAGCTTTGGGGTAAAAAGAAAAGAAGAATATATCACAGGAAACTTCAGACTGAAAGAAACATTATGAAACTGTATATTAGTGTATATAACAGCCACTTTGCCCCCAGAGTTTTATCACGTTTTTGTTCAGATTGTGAAACAGATTCAGTTGGAAAAATCCAAACAAAGTTTTAATGGATTGTTTGACTCTTGTCAGCCACTCACAGCTGATGCAAATAATTAAAAATAATTACAGAGATGTAAATCTGATCTAATCAGTTTTTTATATATAAATTCTTTATGCAAACATCAAAATAAATGTGTCATGGTGTTGGGGTTCAAATTTGTTTTCCTGGTTGTTAGTTTGGTTAATCCTGTGTTTCAGTTTATCTCTTAGATAATTCCCTATTTTTCAGTTGTTTGCTGCAGTTTTCCTGTTCATAATTGCCCTCAGGCTTGCCTTATCACTCACCTGTTATAGGTAATCATCCCAGCTGTTCCTATTTACTAATCACACTACTCAGTACTTATACTCCTGGTCTTCGTGTTCTCAAAGCCTCTTGTCCAACTCTCCTGGTCAAGCCTGGTTTTGTTGCCTTTTGATTCTTAAAAAAAAAAAAAAAAAAAAACTCTAAAGTAGACAAATGCATTTAAATTCTTTAGTTGGGTTTTTATAAAGTGGAAATACATTGCTTTAGTCTGAATTCCTCTTTATTCTAACTTCACCAGCTCCTCTTTTACCCTTTTACTGGTGTGCGTCTCAAAGCAGCTCATTTTGTCACTGTTCCCTTTTTTGTCACTTCAGTAGAAAATGAAACCAAATATTAGTTTATTTATTTCTTCATCAGTGACTTTTAAGTGAAGAGAAAATAGAGACAGAGAAAAACAGAGAGAGAAGTGATAAGAAAGACTGAAATAGCGATTAGAAGTATATTAAATATACACC